TTTAATCGCCAACCCTTGTATATAGTGTACGTTCTTTCACATAACCTTTTTCACGAAGAAAACAAGAATGAGATACAACTAAGAACTATTTATCGAAAGAATATATAAAATGGCATGTGAAAGCCTTCTGCGGTTTACAGGTGATAATCATCTATATAGAGAGAGGTTAGCCCTTGCCCCCTTGGCAATAGGCCAAGCAATAACGACCTCTAACGATAGAGGCAAGAACTGCAACTTGGTTCCGAACGCAAAAAGGACGGATAACTGTGCACAGTTTGGATCCCAAAACTCTTTCCTTTTCTCACATTCCGTAAGAAAAGAGTCATGTTTTCAGGCTGTTTCTTCAGATTGTTGCTAACCCTCGGCCTTTAAGGCAAGAAGGCTCGATTGGTAGCTATATATTGGCAAGTGTAGGTCTGTTAGTTCAGTGTTCAGCTTAGATTTACAAAATAATTCAACTACGTCAAAGTATTATTACCTCCATGAAAAATGGAGGTATTGTTTTGGGCGTGTCTGTCTGTATGTATGTCTGTCTGTCTGTCTGTCTGTGTGTCTGTCTGTGTTTCCGCAACTTTGTGGTCAGCATATTTTCAGAACGCCTTTATGGATTATGATGATATTTGGTATGTTGGTAAGTCTTAGATGTCTCGGTATGATGTCTCGGAATTCTTGTTTTCTGAGATGAAGAAAACAATCCTAGCCTGATGATGATTTTGCCCCATTTTTCTTTCTCAGTCTCATTTTGTCGTGAACTATTTAGGTAGAAACTTAATATAGCTTTATTCGGCCAAGGGGCGTGGTGCGATGTGGTTTTGAAGTTGGTCAGTCAAATATTTTGGTCCCACAAAATAAATACCTTAGCAAGGAGACTTGTCACCACCACCAAATTAACTTGACGGTTGGGCACATTTAACCCACAGTGACAACACGGTACACAAAGGGCGGTGTCAAGTCGCTCAGTATTATGAGTATAGTACACCCCACCACACCACACCACACGTGAAGTCTGACTAGCCAGTTTGATCATCAGGGGTGCCATAGTATACAGTGCAATTTTACAAGATACAATGCAATCGTATTAGAATACCGTGCAGTTTTACGGAATACAGTGCAATTTTACTCTTGACGATGAATCACGTGACTTGGACCCTGCTTTCCTTGAGTTTCAAGATGGCGGACGCCGCTGACTCACATATTTCTGTCTTTTTCGAGCGAATTCGAAATGATCCCTGTGTGGTAACATGCCCTATGTAGTAACATGCCCTGTGTCACGGTAGTATGTAGTGATTTGACTAAAGGTCTATCTACGAGAACGATAAGTACGCTCCGTCAGCGGCGTCCTGGGAAAGCCGGGTCCAGATTACGTTAGTCAACGTCACTAGCTAAAGTAAAATTGCACTGTTTTCCGTAAAATTGCACTGCATACTAATACTATTGCACTGTATTCCGTAAAATGGCACTGAATACTCTGGCACCACTGATCATACACCACCTAAAGCCCCCGTCACACATTCAGAACATTGCCCCGAACACCAACCAAGGTCTTATCAGTCTTCCGTTGTGAGATGTCTGTCGTTTACTTGTATGTCTTTATTTCCCTATGTCTTAGTAACGTCGAAAAGTAAAAAAAAAAAAAAACTCTTATCTCCTGTCTAGTTTTCCTCCTTTTTATGATTTTGTTATACCCCGGGCTGAAGTTCGGGAGCAGTCTGACCAGACAATAGGTCACGCCTACCTTTCTATACAAGTCAAATCAAATTTAAGTTACATTTCAGTCAAATTTGACTCCCAACTACCCCCGATCGCGACAATTTCTGGCCTACTCCCAACCACCAGTTAACCAACCACAAACCTCTAGTACACACCCGGATGTTTGAAACATTTTGAAAATATTAGCCGAATGATGCAGCGGAACAGTGGCCGACCTCGCCGAACTCCATCCAACCACAGCCGACTTTACTCCACAAGGCGAGATCAGGTCACTCTGCGTACAATTCAGAACATCCTAAAGGATGCTGATAATCCTCTGCTTGATTTTGTATCCACTCCGACACAATGTAATTTCAACCTGCGTAGAGGTAAATCTGTCACTGCCTCAACATCTAGTAAAACGAAAAGGCACGAACAGTCTTTTGTACCCCATGGGCTGAAGCTTTTGTCTTAAGACCTGATCTTTGTATATATAGTGGTTTTATGGTGTTATCCTTCTCTGGTAATACTGATTTTAGAATGTCTAGCTGTTGTATTCATTGATTTGATAAGTTTTTGTATTTTATCGCAAATGATGCAGATATATGTAGGATTTTATGCTATCTATTTCTAATAATTGGGCACAAGTCGCAAATACTCGACATATTTTTCATGCAGTCGATATTCAATAAAATCTGAATCTACTCTCAAACTACTCCTAACCATGGTTGGGGAAAATTCGGCAGTGTTCGGGAGGCCGTATTTGGCTATGTGTGACAGGTGCTTTCTGCTCAGTTCAGTTCAGTTCAGGTCGTCCTCGTTAGCCTGGTATCCAGTCTTATCGTGGCTGGGACGGGTTTTTCTCGGGGCTACAGGAGCTCTTCCCCGCCCGACTCTGCTAGGTTTCCCGGTAGGTATTTCACGATGGGAGATTGAGTAGCAAATCAACTCCCCGGCTTGCCATCTCTATTAACGTAACACTCCTACCGGGTGGCCTGTTGTACTAGGCGGGGGGAAACTATTACAGCCCCGAAGACACAGCCTGCCCCAACTACCATGGCCCAACCATGATAAGACTGGATACCAGGATACCTCCTCGTATGAGGGGCTTTACAGTTTCACAAAGACACTCTTTCACCGCCTTGACTGTACTGCACACTTGATATACTGACAAGTCTGACCAAGAAAAAACAGGCGACCACGCTTCGGTTCACGTATAAGCTGTATTTATTCATTTTTACCTTCCCATTTCCACGGACGAGTGGGAACCAATGGAACATGTCATCTCTCTTTGTTCGTCTGGACGCTTTGAAAGGCTAGCCTGGTATCCAGTCTGATCGTGGTCGGGGCCACAAGAGCTCTGTCCCGCCGCCTCACTTATATTTCCCGGTGTGTATTTCACGAGAGATTGGTTAGCCCTCGTGTTGGGGGAAACCAAATCCCAAAAGCATACAGTCTCTTATTAGCGTAACACTCCTACCGGGACGGCCTGTTTCACTGGGCGGGGGAAGCTATTAGAGCCCCCGAAGATATAAGACTGGATACCAGACTTTGAAAGGCTATAGCTGTACTGTAGTTTCGAAGCGGTCAAGCGTAATTTTTGTGTCTTTTTACGGGTATTTGCGGTAAGTGGGACGTGACTGGCCACATCTAAACTTGCCACACCACAGTCTGCCTTTTCAGTAGGCAGCATAATAGGCGTTTAGGCCACACCAATTTAATTTGTTGGTTCACGGATTCTCCTTTTCATTTTTTTCTGATTGGCCAAAATAAATCAGCCGCTGAATCAACTCAAATATGCTCATATTTTGCCCCCAAACAGGTGAGGAAAGTTCTTTTCTTCCTAGTTGTTAAAGTTTTCCATCTATCAATGTAGTGGTTTGATTAAAAGTTCGAAATTAATTGTTTAAATATCAACCCAGTATTTTATGTTCACTTCATGGCTCCTTTCGTAGCATTTGGGGTTATGAAGGATGCCTAGACCTGTTTTTATTTCTATTTTTCGCCCTGTCGCTTCATTTTTTTTCTGAAAAAAAATCCGAGAACCAGTAAATTAAATTGGCGTGGCCTTAGAATCCTCCGCTATACACGTACAACCTCTATATTCAAGCGGCGATCGCAGAAGGACAAAAATTCATTCTTGGTTCAAAATGATTTCATTGATAAAGAAATTGTATTTTGTAACTTTGTGTGTTTTGGTGTCGTCAAATCATACTTTAACATTGCGGACCATATTTAATTTATAAAATTATGTATATGGTCACTGCACAGTGTCGACAGTGAATAAGTAAGTCACCTTAATTAAGGCAATATCAATGGTATTTAGGCCACAGCAGGTAAATTTCATGGATGACATCCGCCGCAGATTCCAAATCTAATGCGAGCAGGCGAAAAAAAAAACAAGGCGGGCCAAAAAAACAAGGTTCCTACAATTTAAAATTTTGACTCAATCATTGTACCAATGGTTTTAATTCAGTGGGAACATCACATATACACAGCCACCATCACATATCACATATCAAAGTAAGAAACAAAACATTAAATCAGAGCATTTTTTGTCTCATCTCTTCATAGTTATCTGCCATCTACCTTCCGGCATGGCAACAGACATCTTTACCCATTTTCGGCATGTTGACCATTGTCAGAAGGCAACAAATTAATTAAAATTTCTTGTTTTTTTTCCAAAATCAGGCGAAACGTAATATGCGCGTTGATGTCATCCATAAAAATTACTTGCTGTGGCCTTAGTTGAACACTAACTTACTGTTCCCTATATACATTTACAAGTCGTGATACGATGAATACAATACACCGCGGCGAAATGTGATATATTTCGTACTTTCAACACCTGTATACGGGCTGTATTGGAGGTATTTCATGCATGATATCTGCCTGATATAGAAGATGAAGATATCATTTCACAAACTTGCATGCGACAACGCGTGGATGATTGAATGCATGTACAGTTTAGGCCATGTTGATTTGATTATAGGGATGACATCCTCTGGGAACCCCCAAAACTGATGCGAGCGTGCGAATAAAAAAAAAAGTTTGGCACAAAAAAAAGTTGCCTGCCCTCTGAAATCTACGGTCATAAAGGTTGAACAAACGACTAAACACAAATTATGGTATGACGAATAATAGACTCTTCATTTTCATTTCTTCATGTGTTTTTTTTTTCCTTTGGATTTGATTTTGACAATCTACATTTATAATTTTTCAATATTTTGTTCCAACTTACATCATATATTTGCTCATTTTGCCGCTGCTTTGTACGATTTACAGTTGATCAATTTTCTCTTTTTTTTAAATTTGCTAACGGAAAATTTATGCGCGCGTGGATGTCATCCATATAATCAAATCAAAACGGCCTAAGTTTAAGTATACAACGGTCTACGCGTGAGACACTCTGGTCACGAGATGTCGTCCTGGGAACGAGATACACATCAGTTTCACGATAATATCTTTGTACAACGTCGAGCCCACTTTGTTACACACGGGGGAGCACTCAGGCTCAAGTGTCTGTCGATTCTTATCTACCTTTTACATACAAATCTTTCTTTGTGATACATCAGCTGCCAAACACAGAACGTAATATATACCTGCCACTGCTAACGACGAAGTGGAAACAAAGTTTTATAGCGTATTTTCTCTGATAATTTCTTTGCTACATGCTAGACGGACGGGTAGTGTAGTATTCCTACTGTTCTTTTGGCGTTCTTGCCGTGTGTTCGTTGTAGTCGTAGTAATAGTCGTCTTCTTCGTCTTCCCCGTGTGCGTCTTCGCCGTCTTTCTTGTCTTCCGCCTTGTCTTGGCTGCTTCCTTCGGGTAGAGGGGACAGCAACCGTCCGTCTGCGGACTTGATTTCCTTGACGGAGGGGTCGGGGTCCAGTAGCGGGTGCTGGTCGCGGAACATGAGCGTGATCTCGGCGATCCTGCCCTCCAGCCGCTCCTGTCTCTCCGACATGAAGGCCAGCTCCTCCTCGTACCGCCTGACGCGGTGTTTCTCCTTCTCCAGCTCGCCCTGCAGCCTGGTGATGGCGCGGGAGAGACGAGCCACGGAGCTGTGATGCCGTCTGCGCTTGTCGCGCGACGCCTTCTTGATGGCCGTCAGATTCCGGACCTGATCGTGCAGTCTGTCGTTGACCTTTCTCACACGGGCAAGTTCAGATTCGATGCTGACGACTCTGGCCGTGAGGTTGGAGAGGAGATCCTCGTTGCTGGCCCGCTGCTCGTTGCCCTGGGCGACCGCTGAGAGGATCTGCGTGACGATGTCGTTTGCGAGCGCGCTGGTCTGGGGAGGGGGGCCGATTGGGGCGTCATCTTTCCCGAACAGCGGCTCTGTCGGCGACGTGTCGTCCAGTTTGACCTCTGTGTCCTGCACAGCCGCCTTGACCCGCTGCCAGAAGTCCGTCAGGGTAGCGATGGTGTGGTCAGTCGCGTCCGAGTCATCGTCTGATAAAAGATGGCGGCCGAGCGCCACCGAGCCGGTAGAGCAGTCCGCAATGTTCAGGACACACACCAACAAAATCCACGCGAATCTCGTGCACTGGCTACCTTGTAATTTTGCCATGGTTTTAACTTCACATCCCAGAGGCCTGCGTGGAATGAAACTTTCCTCTTCTCTTCTCAGCGGTGATGTCTAAGTCTTACAAGTAGATTTTGTTCGTCACTTTTTTCCACGACCCTCAGTTGAAGAGTGGACACCAGACGCCAACGGGAACCTGTAAAATGAAGCGGGAAAAAAAGGAAAAGGTTGTTAGTGTTTGAAACAAAAACTCGTATATTTGTTCCAGACATTCGCAGAATTCTTTGCTCATGAGTGATGAAACGGCCCGCAGTAACCGATACAGCCCTGAGACAAAGGCGGGGAGGAGAGAGGCCGCCACCCGAGCGAAATCTCGTGCGTCAATCGAGCGAGAAAAAAAACTACCGGGCTTGTTTGATGAAAGGTTTTCGGATTGTAAAGCTCAGGAGCTACTTAGGCCATGTTGATTTGATTATATGGATGACATACTCGCGCGCATGAATTTTCGGCCGTTTCCAAAAATAAAAAGTTTTCAACCATACGGTAAATAGTACAAAACAGTTGCAAAATGAACAAATGAACAAATGTATACGGTAAGAAAATGTAAAAAAATGTATACCGTAAAAAAACCAATGGAAAACGATACCAATGTCAACATCAAACGAAAAAGACGAAAATGTAAAGAAATGAATTTTTCGCCATACCATACTCTGTGTCATTTTTTCAACTTTCAAAACCACGTAAATTTCTTCATGGCAAACTTTTTTTTTTATTCACTGGCTCGCATCAGTTTTGGGGTTCCCAGGGATGTCATCCATATGATCAAATCAACATGGCCCTACAGTCAACTCTTCAAGCAGAGGTTTAGGATACGGCTTATTTTTGACATGTTTTAGGTTTTTTTATAGGGCTTTCTTCCCTGTACTGGTATCTTTCACCAACCTTCGAGTAGCAAATGAATACTGCAAGTTTATACCGTCTTGCAGCCACCAAAATATCTGCTTGGAGATTTAAGTTACCTCGCCGTAATCAGTACATGTAGTACTATCCAAGCAGTGGTTGTGGGGGAATGATCATTACCTTTTTATATATGGTCGTTTTTTTTTTGTCGCTACCCCGTCGGTGGCTGACGACCTTCTCTGGCTAATGGATACTGCCTGGCCAATTTGATACTGTCTTTTTGCCACCGAAAGGGATCTGCTTGGAGATTATACATGTAGTACAACCCTGTTGTTTTTATAAAAGCGCATTGTTTGTACTGTGTGTCAACACGCACGCTGAAAGCGCTTTATCGAGAAAACAAAGACAACAGGTCTGGCCAAAGATATCAGGGAAGTAACGTCCTTGATCTGACGTACAAACAAAGCTAGATGGCCTGGATTTTAAGTAGCTAAATGGTAGCCTCTACCAGGCTTCGGAAAGCGGCTGGAAAGAGTAGAAATCGGCTAAATAGAGAGATATTCATGCCAGGGGAGTTGGTCTGCTGGAGAGAACATTTTGCCGCTCCCGAAATGTACTCTCTAGCAGACCAACTCCCCCGGAATGTTATCTCTCTATTTGACCGATCTCTCTACTCTTTCCAGCCGCCTCCTGAAGCCTGGTAGAGGCTAGCTAAATGGCCCAAGTTTCTTGTATTGGAAGTATTTTAACCGAGATAAAAATGGATTAAGTTTAATTGTTATCAAACCTTTCAAATACAACACAATGTGGCATACACAACATAAACGACACACGATAGCCTATACATCGTTAAAACAAAGTGTAAACAACAATAAAGGACTTTTTCTAGCCCCTTAGTGATTAAGGTACAAGGAAGGTAATTTACGAAAGAGGAAACGTATTCTTAATTCCTGTCGTGTAGCATAGAGTATTGAGTATCAGTAAAAAGCTGGTGTTTCTATGTACTCCCCAAGCAAGTCATGCGTTTGGCTGGTGAAAAAAAGATGTCAGTACAAAAAAAAAAAAAGAACACGTATATAAGCCCATGCCTAAACCTTAGCCTCCGTAGCAGGCTTATAGAACTGTGGATTTGGTGGTCTTCGGCTGTTTTCTGATTTTCCCTGTTCTCAAAAAAAAACAGGGGTAATTCAACCAGGCCGGCTATGTTGTCTATATGCAATCAGAAAATAGTACATAGAAAACCCTAAAGACCCCCAAACCCCCAGTTTTTGGCATGCTATGGAGGCTACCCAGACCTCTGCTTGGAGAGAAGTGTTCCATGGACTAGATTCGTGTTTAAATCCGTCCGAAGTTGCCACCAAGACCACCAAGAGAGGGTTAGAGCGTTAGATACTTCAGCCCGGTAATGTAAAGCACCGGACGGTTGTTTTCTAAGCGAAAATGGTTTATTTTTACAGTCAGATAATCCTACCGTCAACAAAGTGCTATTCTATCAACTGAAACACGTCCGAAGATCTAGCCTCTACCAGGCTTCCGGAGCAGCTGGAAAGAGTAGAAATTTGCCAAACAGACAGATAAAATGCCAAGGGAGTTAGTCAATATATCTACTTAAAAAAGAGAGTGCAATAAAGGGAGCACAGTATGCCGTTGTTCATGTGATCTGGCCAATTTGTACTCTTTCCAGCCGCTTCTAAAGCCTAATAATAAAAGCTACCAAAATCACAGTCACGAATGCTCGCAGGAAGCTCACGTTCATATGACCAGAGGTTTTGTCCATTCTGTCCCAATGATATTGAAGACGAATAACATTTTATTTTAGATTGTCCACTATATAACGATAAACACACAAAGCTGTTCAACCTTCTCTCCGCTTGCTCAACAGAATTTGTTACATTTCACGCTATAGATAAATTTAACTTCATCCTAGAAGGTAATAACCCTTACTGTGTACAAATAGGTAAATATATCAAAGAATGTTTAGACCTTAGAACAAGTAGTATTAGCTGACCCATCTATTGTTTTGTACGTATAGGTTAATTTCGCTGTACCCATGTATTTGCCTGTATGTCTACGTGTAGTTTTAGACCTTACGAAAGTCGCTGTACTTTTGTTGTGTCAATTAAGTAAAGTATGACGTCAAACGACGACCTCCCAGACCTAAGCGTCCTTGTAACACATGAAGGAGTCTCTCCCACACTGCCACATTCCCAGATAAACCTACCCTGGATGCCAAACTAGTATCGGGCCGTTAGCCGTTTTCCTTCGGCAGCCGAGAGCCTTTCGCCCGCCTGCCTAAATTACCGCTACGGGGGAGTTGAGCCCGAGGGGAGTTGGCTGGCCCAGCCAACCTCCCCCCGGGCTAGACTCCCCCGTAGCGGTAATTTACACCAGCGGGCGAAGGGCTTTTGCGGCCCGGACAGCGAGTCTGGATTTCCAGGGTAAGATAAACCACGATCCGTCAATCCTAGCTGTCCAGATTTCCCAAGGCTCTACATTTCCTTCTACACGCCCCATTACACACCGAAGATTTATTAATGTAGTAAGGACCAGCCTGACATTTCTAGGACTGTCTTTCCACAACTCCAGACACTCCTGCGATGATGTACACGTGCTAATCTACGCTGGACGCCAGACTAGTATCGGGCCGTTAGCCGTTTTCCTTCGGCAGCCAAGAGCCCTTCCCCCGCACCCCGCCTATCTAGATCACCGCCACGGAGGAGTTGAGCCCAGGAGAATTTGCCCGGCCATAGAACTCCTGGGTTCAACTCCTCCGTGGCGGTAATTTAGATAGGCGGGCGAAGGGCTCTTGGCTGCCGAAGAAAAACGGCTAACGACCCGGTACTAGTAACGCCACGGAAGTATTGAGCCCAGGAGAATTTGCCCGGCCCTAGAACTCCTGGGTTCAACTCCTCCGTGGCGGCGCTAATTTAGATAGGCGGGCGAAGGGCTCTTGGCTGCCGAAGAAAAACGGCTAACGGCCCGATACTAGTTTGGCACCTATGCAGGGTAGTGATAATCCCAGACCAGCAAGGTCGACCCGCGATGTTTATAGAGTGATTGAAAGGGTGGGAGGAAAATTAAGTCGATGGGTATCCCCGTATGCAGGCGGTGTTTGAAAAGGCCCCATTCACGTCCTCTGGAGCATGTCTGCCAGTGTGGGTTTGTTGTTGCAGGGGCTGTTAGGCCACAACAAGTAAAGTTTATGGATAACATCCTCCTTAGACTCCAAATCTAAATGCGATAGGGCGAAAACAAAACAAGGCGGGCCAAAAAACAAGATTCCTACATTTTCAAATTTTGACATCATAAACCTTGTTAAGCAAGAAATGATACCCATACTGTGCTAGGTTTACTGCCAATTATTACAACATCCATTGTCACTGAAAAATAAAAGCTTTCAATCATTGTACAAAATGGTTTTGATTCAGTGGGAACATCACATATAAAAGGAATGAAATACTTTACTGCATCAAGGTAAAAGACAAAACAATAAATCAGAGCCTTGTCTTGTCTCCTATCTTCATATTTATCTACCATCCACATCTCGGCATGGCAACAGACATATTTGCCCATTTTCTGCATTGGTTGACCACTGTCAGAGGGCAACGAAATTTCTTGGGGTTTTTTTTCCCAAATCAGACGAAAATCAATGCGCGCGCTGATGTCATCCAAAAAATTACTTGCTGTGGCCTAACCAAAAATGTCAGCGCTTGGATTGTCGGTTGTTGCTTGGGGAAGTTTCTCAAAGAAACAGATACCTGAGAGCTTGTGAAACACGCACTCCAAAAATGCGACAGGGCCATTGTCTGTGCAGATAGGTCATATCGTTTGTACTGAGGAAAGAACTACTGGTCGTTTTTGTAGAAAGACATTGGGGTTAACCGAGCGAAGAAATGCGTAAGAAAACAAGCAAACAGACGGCTCTGCTGAGTTGGTGGAACTGAGCTGGGAGTAAAGCTGGATGTTTAAGACGGATCTACCTACCGGACTACCCGCTAAAGTTAGTCACTACCACGCTAACAACGTGGGTTCAAAAACAGTAAAATTTAGCCAAGTAGGGAAAAGTAACTGGCCAGGGTAGTTTAGCGACCGTAGACTTCATTTAAGGGCGGAATCAACCCTCTCGCTAGCCCGGGTGCCATCCTCTAGCCTCTACCAGGCATTGGGAGGCGACGGGAAAGAGTAGAAATCGGCCAAATAGAGAGATAACATGTCAGGGGAGTTGGTCTGCTGGATAGAACAGTTTGCCCAGCGACATTAGGGAGCGGGCGAAAACTACTACGGAGGCACCCAGGC